TCAAGTTTCATCCCAAGGACAGCTGGATTGAAGCTAGAGCACCTAGAAAGGGCCCTTCCCCCCTGCCAGAGTTTGCATGATTCCGACAAAAGAACATAAAACAAAAAAACCATAAGCACAAAGTAGTTTGCAGAGGACAATGCACGGATTATTTTCCCCGTAAGACTGGTGTTGTGGACAGAATAGACAACTCAGTAGGGACAAGCTGCCGGTTGTATGTTGAAGTCAGAGTTGCAAAACCTGCGTCAGCATAGAACCTTGCAGTGGTTTTGAAGAGCAATCAAGAAGAGTTAGGAGACAGGACAAATTCAGGATATTGTGCCCCAGGCTACCTAGCACCTAGCTTGCTAAACATGCCAGACACCACCAGATGTTGCCCCTGCATCGCGTCCTACTGCATCTCTCTTTCCATCTTCGATATGCAGCAACGGGCCAGGTGCGATCAATGTTTCCTGGCGTTAGACATGATTTTTTTTTTTTAATCTCCGGTGAGGGGAAAGGATGGGAAAGGTCTTAGGTGTGGCTAGCAGCACCACAGAATGCCGTGGAAGCATTGTCCTACCGGCAAACAAAAGGAGACCTTCCATCTATTCCCATCGTGGACAGCTTTCTTGTGTCAGACCTGGGAACCGGTTGTTTGTGCAGCATGTCCCACAAGCTTGGCTCAATGGAAGCTCGGGAAGTGCTCGTCGTTCGGAGCATTTTTTTCTGCCTTCGGAAGACAGGCATCGACCAAACGATACCAGGTGGAAGATGTTGCCAAGCAATTCACTTGGGCGAAATGTCCAGAAATGACAAGATCAAGAATAGTATCATTGTCACTTGAATGTTGGCATGGATGTTACAAGCAATCACAATGACTTTAGCAACCTCCCCAACCAACAACAAACATGCAGGTGTTGACTCTTCCTTTTGGCGCGGATTTGGCATCAAACCTTTTGTACTTCTCATTGAAGGTGAATTCTTTTGGTATCTCTTATGCCATGTCGGCATTCTGAGGATTCTGGGGGAGGAAATCTTCCCATCGACCCATCGATGGCTGAGGTCGGCCAAGAAACTCACGCGAGGCCGGCCGACCGCGGTCGGCCGCGCCCGGTCGGAAGAAGGACCATGTTGGTACCTGGTACCATCTGGAAGAGGTTTGGGTACGACGGTACGACAGATCCTGTGGTTCGCCGTTCTGAAGCGTCAAACGGACAGTTGCACTTTCAACAGTTTCTTTGTATTTCTTGGGCACATGGTGCCACATTGAAGATTAGAATACAGATTTGTTTTTGCACTGAACACCTTTGAAGTGCAGCCTATTTCAGAAACAACCGGACCATAGGCATCGCCGGCATCACATACAGTCAGAGTGGTGGACATGCTCCAAATCTGTAGATTACGAGCCTACAGTGCATGAAAACATGTTTATTCTTTAAATTGACTATTGTCAATTGTAATACTTCTCCACACACAACCTAAGGCTCGGAGCGATTTGTGGCAGCTCCGCACGGGCAGACCACATCGATGTGAAGCGTGGAGATTTCATGTAGCGTGGACATATCCTCCAAGCCTCCAAGTTGAATGTGATATCCTCCATGCCATGAAGATGAAGTATAAGTAGCCATAATGGTAGCCATACTGGCTATACTCCACGAATGCAATCATGCAGAGTTGCCACTGGTACGTCATCATGTCAGGTTTGAGGGTGATTGAAGGGTAGCCCAAGACAAACACATTGCTTATTTGCAATATCAGTTTTTCAGCACAGCTCGACGAGTCCTTGGAATTGACAACCTTGGACGACACATTGGGCGCGTGAGGCCCCAGCAAGACAGATGTGAAGGCTGGACGGGGTGGGTTTCGCAGGGCGGCTTGGTGTGGACCTGAAATCCACCCACTCCTGAAATCTACCCCTGAAGATCAGTGCAATGTAGCTCTACCTGACTATTCTGGAGTGGAGCAGGAGTTCCTAACCTCCATGGATCTCCCTACCCAAAGCCTTTCCCTTGAGAAGGTTCACGTGGGTCAGTCCTTCTTTCCGGCTGTTCCAGTGGATGGCTGGTCTGTTCAAACGGGCCACACTTCGGCGAGCCGAGCGAATGTCGGACCGCGGAGGCTGCCATCCAGTCGAGCGGCGGCCTTAGACAAGAAAATCGGAGAGGATGGATATCCGGTATCGTTCTTGTGGAACTGGGTGTCACAGTTCCGATTTGGTGTGACGGTGTCACAGAGTTCCAAGCAGTTGCTTTGTCCTCAAGATCAGAATCAGCACAACTTGTTGTTTCCCGACGTTGATGTTGCAGTCGATGGAGTAACGGACCATTGTTGGTATTCGGATTACTTGAGATCCAGATGTTTAGTATCACCGACTGAATAGTTTGCTTTTATACACATTAAATATTATATACAATAAATATGTTTGGACATTTGGACATCACACATTCACACAACGCTTGGGGATTGCCATAAATGTGAAACGAAGCCTTAGCCACCAGCTTTGTCCACGAAGACTTCCCCACTGGTACCACATCTTTAGCCAGTGAGTTGCTAGGGTGAGTGAGTTGCAAATACCCTTCGCCACGTGCGTGAAGAGGGAAATCTAGTTGAATGCTCCGCAGGCACAGATTCGATTGGTAAGAGGTGTGAACGAAGAGACAGAAACTCAGATGTTGTCCATTTTCATCCTGGTAGGTTGGCATTCGTGGATGACACAGTGACACGGGTAACCACTCATAGGTGTTTGTTTTGACCACCTATGTATGTAATTGCTCGTGCATCTCCGTCATGCTGAGATAAGCGATCAAACAATCCACCTGGAACAAAGAAAACTGAGGGATGGCAGGTCACCAACCTCAACACTCTCAGCTGATCCCCGATGCTGAAAAGACATTCGCCGTAGCTGCCCAGATTCCAAGACCACAGACCCTTCTGAGGCCCCAGCCTCCATTTGATGACAGATTCAGGTGAAAGGGCTCCTAGCAACCGACGTCAACCAGCGCTCCACGCGCTTTTGGCCCCTAAACGGTTTGGATTTAGATTCTCCGCAGGGCCGGATGTGACAAACCCCGCCAAGGTCCAGAAGACAAAGCCAAAGAAATCCCTGCAAAGGCAGGCAGAGATCGCATTAACAATTTTACTGGTCTTTTTACAAGACAATATTAATATTGGATCGCGATGTGGGCTTGTTGATGGGGAGTTGAATAATGTCCGCCATGCGAAGTATCTTCCAGTTCGGAATGAAAAGGATTCTTGCTAGGATTTTACTAAGAAACTATAGAACAAAAACACACAACCATGCAGAACAGAAGGTCTAAACCGTCCTGAACCTTCCCAGATCGGTCCTTGGCTCGGACATCCAGGGGTGCTTGGGGTCCCTAAACTCTTGGTGGAATGGTCAGTCGTAGGATTTTCTGAGCACTGAGCATGCCCCTATCAACGCAGACTCTTGATGATTACATTTCAATCCAAGTCTGAAGAGGTTGTACAATCCACGGTTGTTTCTTTTTAGTGAGTCAAGAGTTAAGAGTCTACCTGAGAGCATGACAACTCCATATGTTGGACGAAATGGATTCGTGCACAGTTCTGTCAAATCAGCATGGGTCGAGACGGCCAGCCCCCGTGGCGATTGAAGCAGCTGTTTTTTCTTGACGGCTCCCACTACTGATTTGAAGACCCATTAGTTGATAGAGGACAGAACATGTGCAATACTTTAGTCATCATGGAGTAGATATATGGGAAAATCCGAACAAATGTAGGACACGGTCAGGTTTTTGGATTGGTTCATATTCTATTTGCTACAGGATGGTTGTAACTTGTTGTAACTTAATAAGGTTTGGAAGATAGTGGCGGATGATAGCGGACACAATGCCTTTCTCAGCTAGCCGCTAGCCCAATGTGCTCAGGTGAGTGCGAGAAAAAATGAGGCCTGGCGGGGCACCGCGCATGCGCTGCAAGTTCAGAGTAACCTTCCTGGCCAGGGAATGGGGACGAAAAGTTCCAAAGCGTAAATGTTCTGGCGTTTGCTATGTAAACTATGCTTGCCTAGATGAATGGATTAAAACCAGCCTTGGAAATCCTGGCGTTGGGTTTCATGTGCAACGGGAATTCCTAAGCCGCCTGGCTTCGCCGTCATTGTTTGGAAGGACCCTCTCAGAGGCCGTCCAGTGAGAGAAAACTCATGCGATTCTTTGGGGGTCAAGGTGTAAGGATGAGTTTCTGCTCCCCCTTTTGGGTTTTGATGCTCCCAACTGTGGGTACATTTCGATCGGATGCTTCTGGGTGCCAATCTGGTAGATCAGAGCAGTTGGTGCAATTGGACTGAAATCCATTGACTGATCATTCAAACGATTGACTGATCAAGATGATGGGCTTCATTGCTGACACAAACAATGCACTAGGTGTAGTTCAACACCTCAATAGACCCCCTGAAGGACGCCTTTTTTGGGGAGGAAACAATATCCTGCCTGCTGACCTCCTGTATCAAGATGTTGTAGAGCATTGAGCGGTCGAAACAACCTGAAGATGCTCAAGAGTTTTCCGGGGGCGAGAAAGCACACATTTTTTGCTATGTTTTGAAACCCAAGTATGCAGACACAAAAAGTCAGAGTCTGCCCGAAAAAGACCATGCTTTGGATACTGAAACAATACTTTGGATGGAGGCATCGGCATACCTTTTACTCAAGAACTACAGCCATCGCATGGAACAGACTGTGCACTTTCCCAAGAGCCACCCTGAAACGAAGCTGTGACCACAGCATGGGTGACCAGATCTACACTCAAACGCAGTGGATTGCAAGTCTTGCCCAGGGCAGATGTCACTTGAGAAGGCGGAAGTATGTAGTCCCAAGGAGAAAAGAAATCTCAACGTCTATAGCGACGACCTACAAAATTTTGGCTCCTCACCTACACTTATAGTACAGTAGCCACATCATATTCTCTTCTGGCGGTGCGCTATCCAATAGCCTATAGCTCTTTTCCCAGAAAGTTGCAGTGTTCATCACTTCATCGTTGCTGCCATGGCGGAACTGGATGATTCAGTCGTGTCTTGGTTGAAAAGAGGTCACTAGGTCGCGCTGGTGGACTGTTCAAGTGATTTGTTGAGGTGTATCACGGTATCAGTGTAAGTCAGTACAAGTGTCACGTAGTGCCACGTGCAGTTTTTGTTCTTGTTTGCATTCATTAGGCATGAGCAGGGGCGGGTTGGGCACGTTGACTTCTTCTGGGAGGCGCGTTTGCGCAGACAGCACCTAAAAGCTGTACCCCCCCCACCCAAAGCATTTCACCATGTACAAATGTTCAAGATGGTTATCAAATGGAGCTTTAATGAAATCCATGGCCTGGAATAACAATAATTTGGAAATCCCAACTTGCGGCCTAGGGCAGTACTCTCCAGTTTTTCTGCTTCTAGGACCTATCCCAATTTACAATCCCTTCAAGGGTTGGGAAGTGCTCTCGATCACATCCCATGAATCTAGAGCTGCTACGGCACAAACCTACAAAGAAACAGCGGCAGAAGACAGGAGTTTTGGGCTTTGGAAAAAAAGAGAGCCACGGATGAAGAAAAAGTATCATACTTTACGCGGACCCTGGATTCAAAATCCACTGGAAGGACGTGAAGACGATTGAGACCTGTGTGTGTGTGTGTCACACCCTGTTTCAAAGGGTTCCTTAAAGACATGCAGGGGGGCATGGCAGCTGTTTCCCTAGCCATGCCAACGAAGCTATGGGATTCAGCCGGAAGGTAATGTGGACGCACATTCCTGTACCTGCGACGCAACTGTTGATCACACTGTCTAATTTGCCTCGTTTTGATTCATGGTGGTTTCACACGATACCTTCCCCACAAACAGGTTTCCCACCGCAGCCTTCAGCCGCTTGTGCAGTGCGAGTGCAACAACGTTAAACACTTCAAGTGATCGGACCCGTGCACCTTTCTGTTCCCTCACCTTCCTTCCCATCGTGGCAATTGAGTTAACTGAAAACCAATGTCAGAGTGTGTCGACGCGTGTGCCGCCTCTTCGCCGACACAGCGAGGATGTGGAGATGCTCAAGAATCGCTACGTTTGGGGGCCCGGCCTCGTTAGGAGGGTCGAATTTGGGATCGTCCTCGCGGCGGAGAGGTGAACATACATCAAATGTATTCAAATGTCCATGGCTGAGAATTATGGAGAAACTAAGGAGTAGACTGAAGATTGTGTTTGCCCTTTGATTCCCTCATAGGAACTTGGAGGGTCGGTATGCATTGTTATGTAGAGATGGTAGAGGTTTCAGACACCAGGTCACCATTTGGGAGGATTTAGGGGTTCCAACATTTTCAACGGAAAACAATAGACACGCAGGATCAATGAGAAGAGTTTGAGGTGGTCAAAGAAAGACGCCACACAGGTAGGGTTAAGATGAATGGTGTGCTCGAGACTGACTCGGAGATCGACTTGAAAAAGACGGTCGCTCCAGATCTTGCCTTGGTCCACGAGTACCCACTTGTATTCGGGGATACTTTTCATGCATAACTCCTTGGTCTTCATACCCTCGGTAGTTGATCTACAGGTCTATCGGTCTAATAGGCGTAATAGGTATTTGAATCTTTTCCCTATCCCTCTTGGCCACACCCAGGAGGAGTCTGTGGCTGCCAACGAGGATTTGAAGCATGAGAACGAGGCCGCTGTTTGTGCCTCTCACCCCAACCGGAACGAGCGCGGTGTTGGTCTCGCACTCTACGGCTCCGCCGTTTCGGCGGTGGAGCCAGCAAAGCGGATATCATCCCAACAGGGGATGTAAGGTTTTGTTACGACGTTTGTATATGCAGATGCGCATATTAAAAAGTATTGTATAATATACATATGCTCATATTTGATTGCGACTCTGGGTCCTTAACACCAGCTATGAAAGTTCTCGGCGGAATCAGCCAGCCGCCAGAGTAGCTGGCGGAAGCAATCCCTCGCAGCAAGCAAGATACATCAAATGAATCTATCGCCGTTTAAACCTTGAAAACACCCTTGACAGCCAGTTGCATGCGTGACTGAGCTTTTACAAAATTGGTTTTCATGGTTTCATCCCGCATGGTCCCTTCATCTTCTTGGGAACATCTTCCTTGGTGCAGCACGGGCACAGCAGGTGGCTGCAATCGACGAGGAGTGAAAGACTTCTGCCTTGCTAGGAGTTTTAAACTTGGTGGTTGCATTTGTCTTGCACTTTGTGTTTCTGTGAGTGTTTCCAAGGACTGAGAACCTGTTTACTTGGCGGCCATACATCATTTTCCACATGAGGCGTTTGCAACTGCCAATAGTGTGACACTGAATGACAGTGAGATGGCACAAGATGGCAGGTTGCTGGTGGTATGACGGCATGACGCAAGTGGTGCCAAAGGTATCGTAATGTATCGTAATTATATGTAATTATATAGTTTAATATTGGATGTCAGTGGCATGATAGTAGGCTGGATGCTGCCAGTGGAACGAACTCATGATGTTGGTTGTGTGCTGGTATGTTGCTGGATGATATGATGCTTTGATGCCTGTGGTATGATAGTAATTGATTATGTTGCGGGATGGTCCGTATGGTGGTGTGTTGCCGGTGGTATGATGATATGCTGCCAGCGGCACGCACGTATGATGTTGATGGCCTTGTCACTGCCCAGGCCTTGTCAGGTTGTGTGCGTGTATGTGTACTGCCTGGTATATTGGTATATTGCCGGTGATAAAAGATCCTGCAAATATCTGCAAATAGTGGTTCTGGACCCTGGACCACCGAAGATGGGGGTAGTATGGTGTAGTCTTTGACCACCGCGACCTCGTTTTTGATGAACACAAATCCGGACTTTTTATCTGCACCACAAGTATGTGCATAAATATATCATGACCATTCATGACCTCGATTATAGAGAGTGGCTTTGCACCATCTACCCGGCTTCCTATTTGTACTACGTAATTACCATCTCAATGAGGATCCAAAATGCATTGCGGTTTGCCGGTTCAATTACTGTACGTGCTACCACAGGTTCGATTCCGTTCGGTTCCTGGGAAGAAGGGCGCGATTCGGTTTCGTTTGTTTCTTGGAAGAATTCGGTTATGGTTCGCTTCAAGGTTCCCGAATTTTGTGTCCGGCGTTTCAGTTCAAGAACGGTTCGGTTTGCACAGTTCGATTCGCGTGCAGTGTTGTTCTGTAAAATGTCTCTTTGGTATGGGAAGCGTTTCACGAGGTCCCACGTAGTCCGTGTGGAAGCTTTTTCATAAGGTCACCAGTGTCAAGACCCAAATCGAGGGGTCTTGGAGTGGCCCTGGTTCCTTCCGTGGAACCACGCTGGGAATGCCGTGTCAGGCCTTGGAAGAGCTCATGGAGCAGGCTTTGCGGCAAGTTGGTTTGAGAACATGTTTTGAATTAGGGATTGTTTTGTCAATGTTGCAGTCAGTTTTGGGGCATGGACAGCAGGTCGGTTAATTTATTGTTTCGGGAGTTGACCATGTATGGGAAGACTGGGAGCCGTTCTCAGAGTTGACCTACCCTATCAAACCCAGGTGGAGTCATTGTTTTTCTATCGGCGGTCGATTGTCTCAGTTGCAATCCTTACCAGGTCCTTACCCTGCTTTGCCACGGCAGGTGCATGACCTAGCAGAAGATTGGCAAGAGGTCCTGGATCGGTCAGGGAACCCAGCCACAGCAATCCGAAGTTTAGCCAGGGCGGGATGCCAAAGGCACAATTTTTCTTGGGTTTGGAGGGGTGACTTCTTTCAACCTGGCAGACATTCTTATGTTGCAAGAAAACTAGATCAGCCCTCAAACCACCCAGGCTGATGTTTAACTGGGTTGACGTGGCAAAGCTTCTGTGAAGCAGAAACAGATCATTCTTACATATGAGACTGTGAGCGGCACTTGCTCGTAGACGTGATCATTCCATATTTATATATATATATGTATGATTTGGACTCGATAAATGGATGTTGATGTCCTATGCACACCAGGTTGCAGCGTTGTGTTTCTTGGAACCCATCGGCACGGCTCACACAAAAAAGATGGACGACCACGACATTTGGACATATATATATATATACATATTGTGTTTCATTGAAGTTTGGCCCTGTCCCCAACGATCAAGTCTGGAGAGAACTTTGACAATCTGTGGAACTTTTGCCTGATGCGACGTGCCAGATGCGACTGATTTCTCAAGGGTCGTGCAGTGCTACCCGCTACCCAAACCGTGCGGTGTTTCGGATGGATGTGTCCTAGATTTCAAGGTGTCTTAAAGTGAGTGTGGAAATGCTTTGGCCATCACGTGCTTGGCCTGTTTTAAGATGTGAAGACACAGGAGTTGGATTTTCTCGTGAAATCTGGTGAAACTCTGAAGCATTTAGTGTGCCCAACCTGGCATTGAACCCAATCTCGTTTCCACAGTGACATTTGCCCAGAAACCGCGGCGTCGCTAGCAGGAAGCGGGTTGGTGAACCAATCGAGGAAGCACTCGAGGCTGTGGGTTGTGAAATGCTGATGCGGGAGTAGCCATGGACCAAGGTGGAAGTGGGTTTGTCAAGAAGCGAAGAAAGAAACTGCCATGTAGATTCCTTCAGATGTTTTCAGTTAGTTACTGCAATTAAGTCTGCGTGTGTTTGTTTTAGAAAAGTTGTGGATTGTAACCAGTTTTCTGTAGCCCCAGGGTCTCCATACAACATATACAACGACACATAACGACGCGATTATGTTTCTTTAATAGTCATAGGTGGTGGGTTCTTGGCGGACTTTTGTTCGCAGCAAGCAGATCTTTGTTGGTCTTGTGAACTGGCTAGCGGAGGCTCCAACCTCATGGAGTCATGGAGCGCAAAAAGAGAGGTTTTGGTGAGTGAACACAACTGCAACAACTGCAACAAACGTCCATAACTGTGGGCCTCTTAGTTTGGTGTGTGGTGAGTGTGTAAGATGAATGTAATGATGTAGTCTCAGAAAGTTCGCAGCGTACGATGGCCGGAGCAGGATGCTTTCCCGCCAGTAAATATGGGCAAGAGCTGTTTCCCCTTTCAACGGATAGGCCGGCAGCCAATGTGTAGATTATTGTAGATATTTGTAAATAAGTTGAGGCCCAAACAGTTAGAGAACTCTCGAGTATTTGGTTGGTATTTGGAGCCCTCCACTAGGCGCACGAACAAAAGCAAAAAATAAGGCACGTTACTATACACCAATTCCTGGCAAAATTCGTCCTCGCGACCTGGCCAAAAGAAGGAAGTTCTGCCTCACTCCAAAACCTTCCCCAACACACCAAACTCTAATCAAACAGCTCAAATTTGAAGAACCCCAAGGAGATACACTCCGATCATCGGCATCCGTCTCCCTTCCCCTTCCACTCCGGGTCTTCGTCCTCCAGGCGCTGCGTCAGCGACGGCAGCGGGTGGCCGCGCGCCTGGCCGAGATCAATCGTGGAGACTTGGGGCGCGGCGAGTCGGGGAAGCGACGAGAGAGTCGCTTTGAGGTGCTGAGGATCTAAGTCGAGTACGGAAGGGTGTGGCCTCGAAGAACTTCAGGTCTGGGTCAAGTGCCTGCTAAACATCAAGGAGGACGACAACATAATTTGTTGATATGCTTGAAACAAAAGGAGATAAGGACTGAAGATGGCCCCAGCCACAAGCTCGTCTACTTGGAGTGTGCCGGGCAAACATGTAGGTCACAGGGATATGGCAGTGGGTTAAAGCACAACACAACAGCTCAGAAGATCTCAAAAAGACATCAAACGCATGCCACATAAAGTATCAAAATGGAAATTCTATAATATACATATTTATACAATATAATAAATATAGTACTAGTCTTTGCCTTATATTCAAAATTCAAACTAATGCAATATAACAGTATGTATATAATAGGAATAAGTAGTAATATGCATATACAATATAATACATAATATGCCTGGTGGAGGGACGGCTGGACCTCCTTCAGTCCACCGCACGCGTCGCCAGGCCTCGTCGGCGGCGAAGCGGAGGAAGTCAAGCCTCACCCGTTGGGGAAGCCCGGCGCTGGATGTGCCTTTGGCGGGGGCAGATCCAGAAAGACCAGGCCATCGCTAGTTGGTTGGAGGCCATTGCTAGTGGGAACCAAAGGTAGGAAGACCACGTAGCATTCACAAGACTGCTTTAGGTTTATCCCATGCCGGGAATGAAGCGTTTGCTTTGGGGTCTTGGCGTCCAAAGAGGCACCTATTGACCATACCAGCAAGGCAGCCAGAGGTACCCAGAGCGGATATGGCAGCGGTACCAAGGCTTTGGGTCCATTGGACTGGACGGTCTTCCGGTATGGTGATGGCCGGTGAACCGGGTGTCAGTTCTGGCCAGTTGCGATCGGATCAGATTTGAGACCAAATCCTCCTGACTCGAAGACGTGCGCAAAAAGCTCTATATAGTTTTTTTTGTTTTTGCAATGGCCTCCAACCTACCGAACCTACTAGCTTCTTGCTCCCAGTAGTCAGGCCAGGAGCCCCTAGTAGCGATGCCCTTTGCTCCTAGTTCGTGTGGACGCCCATGGTTCAGGGAGTGGTGGTGTCTCGGAGCAAGGAAAACAACGTCGCGCTCGCCGCTTCGAAAAGGTGGAAGAGTTGACGAAGGCCACAGAGGAGAGCCAAGTGTTGAAGACACAAAACCAAGAGCTCAAAGAGGCTGGAGAGAGAGAGAGAGAGCGAGCGGGGGTAGGCCGTAAGTAGAGGTGAGGTAGGTTAGGCGTAGGTAGTAGCTAGAGGGAGTTGGTATAGCTAGTAGGGAGAGGTACCTAGTAGTAGCTAACAAGAAAACTACTAACACTGGACACAGGATAGCTCACGCTTCTTCAAGGAAGCTTTAGGGCGGCGGGGGAAGTTTCCTTGAAGAAGCGCTCGCACTTAGGAGTTTGTTTCTAGATTTTTTGGGAAACTTAACTTACATTACAAGATTCCTTTTCCTAGGTCAGCTTCACCCTTTCCAAGACCAGTGACCTTCTCATAACAATTTGTGCCAAAACCTCACATTGGATACGGGACACAGAAAACGCTGAGATTCTTTCTCACGAACCGGAAAGCGAAGGCCATTCAGCAAGCGAGATCCATGATCCATTCGAAGTTAGCGGTGGCCTCAGTTGGGATGACTGGGAGACTTGAGAAAGCGGTGAGATCGGTGTTCAACTCAGCTGGTTGTGTCTCAAAGGGGCTGTCTAGACCCATCAGCTTCGGAAGCTCGGTTGCGAGGGGCCTTTACAGGTACCGAAGATGTTTGCACTTAGCACGACTTCTTTGTCGAAACTCATAAGTTTCAACTGAGTCTTCACATTTGTCCTAGTTTCGACGATGGTCTTGTTTTTCTGTGAATGCAGTGGTATTGGACGGTGAACCAACTTCTAAATGACATGGTACGTGTTGTCATTTCCTAGTCCTCAACTCCATGATTTGGCACAGATGGTTGCTGAGGGCTTGAGACTACTTCCTCTCCCTCAATTGTTACTTGATTGACGAATCAAGATGCACCCAAACTTTTGCCATCTTTCACCCCCGACCATAGTCCCAAGTGAGCGGCTCAAGTGAGTTCTTCAGTCATGTAGTCAATCAGTATCCATTTCGTTCGTCCTGCGCAAATGTCGGCACATCTTCCTTAGGTTGGAGGCCACCGCTCCTAGGTTGGAGGCCATCGCTCTTAGGTTGGAGGCCATCGCTCTTAGG